TGATAGACATTTAGGTCTTGCGGTCCAAAATGTCAATATGGTAATATTAATCTAATTTGTAAGATCATTTTCTTCTGGTTCCAGGACTTTGAGGAGCAGCTAGACATGAAGGACAGACTGATAAAACGACTCCAAGACCAAATCAAAGCAATTCAAACACATGCGACAGGTACAACTCTTTCCATTCATCTGATTTTATATTTAGCCAATCCGGTCTCATCCTCTCCATGTTTTGTATCCTCATCAGCCAGTCAGAAAGCAGCGCCGGCTGTGCCTAAAGAGTACTTGGGCATGTTGGAGTACAAGAAGGAGAATGAAAGCAGGCTGATCCGGACGCTTATACTGGGTAAATCCATCACTAAAGCATGTGTACGTCCAACGCACAAATAACTCATAATTTACAGAGTGGTTTGTAATCTGCAGAGCTGAAACCTCGCGGTGTGGGTGTGCTAATGATCCCTGGTCTGGCTGCACATCTCCTCTTCATGTGTGTGAGACACGCCGATTACCTCAATGACGGAAACAAACTCAAGTCCCTCATGAACGGCATCATCTCAGCCATCAAAGAGGTCATCACGGTAAGACGTACAAATTGTCATCATAGCATTTGTTGTATTGCCTTTAATGCTGATTATAGCATATATTTTACATATTAATATCATATAATAATATTAATAAGTTGAATAACAATAAATATATAAAAAATAAAAACTGCAATGTGTGTGTGTGTGTGTGTATGTATGTATGTATATATATATATATAAACATGGTAATGTTTATTGTATTATTTTTAATACAAGGATTTGATTTAAATATACATATATATTATTAATACAGCAGTGCAATAAATATTAAAATAATAATAAATACAGTAATAAAATAAATTATTATAAAATATAATGTCACTGCAAAAATATAATAGTTGTAAACATGCTTAATTTTCTTTAAGCAAAATGTCATTTTCTTTTGATTATAAATGAAGTAAATTTGAATGAATTCTGTCACACATTGTATTATGTCCTGAATTCGAGCAAACTAATGTAATTCATAAACTAACATGATAATTCAAAAACAATCACATCTGAATACAACCAACCTGCAGAATCCTCTGAGATTGCTGCTGCACGTCACTTTATGATGATGATTATGATGACTATGATTTCAGAACCAACAGGAGAGTTTTGAAGTTCTGTCCTTCTGGCTCTCAAACACATATCACTTCCTCAACTGTCTCAAACAGTACAGCGGAGACGAGGTAAAGTCCTTTTCTGTGTCTCTCTACTCCCTTCCACTATTAAAGACCCCATGAAATGCTATTTGTACTTCCTGATTCAATACATCAACGCTTAATTTCAAGGATATCTTACTGAAACCAACCACTGAGATTCTTTATTTCCCCTCCATCAACAGGAGTTCATGAAGCACAACACTCCTCGTCAGAACAAGAACTGCCTGAGGAACTTCGACCTGTCAGAGCACCGGCAGATTCTCAGCGACCTCGCCATCAACATCTACCATCAGTTCATCAGCGTGATGGAGGACGCGCTCTTTCCCATGATAAGTATGGAAATAGAGTCGATGCATTGGCGCTATAATTTAACGCATTTCCCTTTGTTCCATCTCGTTAAACAATCCACTCTCTCCTTTCAGTCCCTGGGATGTTGGAGCACGAGAGTCTCCAGGGAATCTCCAGCATGAAGCCCACCGGTTTCCGTAAGCGCTCGAACAGTGTGTACGAGGACGGCGGGGACCACAGCGGGTCGGAGCCGTTCAGTGTGACAGACATCCTGCAGCAGCTCGACGCGTTCCACACCAGCATGGCGCAGCATGGCATGGAGCCGCAGCTGCAGGGTCAGGTCATAAGACAGCTGTTCTTCCTCATCGGAGCCACGTCGGTGAACAGCATTCTGCTCCGCAAGGACCTGTGCTCCTGCCGCAAGGGCATGCAGATCAGGTGCGTACATGTGTTAAATCCTTGTATGGGCATTACTACATAATGCACAGCATATACACTACTGTTCTATTCAGCAAGGATGCATTGAACTGATCAAAAGTGACAGATTTGTTTTGTAATTCTATAAATGTCTTTGCTATTTAAAGGGGATGTCTAATGCTATTCCATGCATTCTGACTTATTTACACTGCTAAAGAGTTGGATCCTCATGCTAAACATGGCCAAAGTCTCAAAAAACGAGTTGTTTAAGTTTCGGAAAGTTTCTAAATGAACAGTATGGTACTATTCCATAAATACAGAACATTTGCATAGTGTGCACACTATACATACTGTGGAGATGTATATGTTTTAAGTTCATACATCACTGGAAATGGAAGGTAAGGTGTGCATTGCATTATGGGATATAGTAGTCAGTGAAGTGTGCTCTGGAATAGTGCCATTCTGGCACATACAAGTGGTTGTATACATACTGCTTACTGCACAGATAGTATGAGAGGTTTTGTAGTATGGCTTTCTGAACATCCCTAGAAAAAGGTTTAATGAAGCGTCTTTGTTTTTCAGGTGTAACATCAGTTATCTAGAGGAGTGGCTGCGAGAGAAGGATCTGCAGAGCAGCTGCGCCATGGAAACGCTGGGGCCGCTCTCTCAGGTCGCCTGGCTTCTTCAGGTCAACAAGACCACAGATGAAGACGCAGCCGAGATCAAGCAGAGATGCTCCGAGCTCTCTCCTGTGCAGGTGCAAACTATAGCCTGCTGCTTTGCCATTCATTCATTTATATAGGCTTTATCGGCCATAGAATGTCAGTTTTTAATTGGTCATTTCTAAGAGCCCTTAGAATCTGATTGTTTTCTGGTTTTGTAGATTGTGAAAATCCTTAACTCCTACACACCCATTGATGATTTCGAAAAGCGTGTCACTCCGTCCTTTGTTCGCAAAGTGCAGGTAGGTTTTTTCTTTTTTTAAGCACGGTCGCTACTGTTCAAAAGTTTGGGGTTGGTACCATTTTTTAATGTTTTTAAAGTCTCTTCTGCTCACCTAAGCTGCATTTATGATCAAAAATATAATTAAAACAGTAATATTGTGAAATGTTTTTTCAATTTAAAAGAACTGTTTTCTATGTGAATATATTGTAAAATGTAATTTATTCCTGTGATCAAAGCTGAATTTTCAGCATCATTATTCCAGTCTTCAGTGTCACATGATCCTTCAGAAATCATTCTAATATACTGATTTGCTGCTCAAGAAACATTGAATAATAGATCATCAATGTTAAAAACATTTGTGCTGCTTCATATTTTTTGTGGAAACCATGATGCTTTTTCTTTTTTCAGGATACTTTGATGAAAAGAAAGTTCAAAAGAACAGTATTTATTTGAAATCAAAATCTTTTGTAACATCATAAATGTCTTTACTGTCACTTTTGATCACTTTAATGCATCCTTGCTGAATAAAAGTATTCAACTTCCGTAAAAAAATCATACTTCACCCCAAACTTCTGAATGGAAATAGAAAGGTAAACGATCACAAATCATTCATAGAATGGAGCATCGTCTGATTGGCCCTTGTTTTGTCTCTATGGTAACAGGCGTTGCTGCAGGAGCGCGAGGGGTCGTCTCAGCTGATGATGGATTCACAGTATCGTTTCCAGGTCACCTTTCCCTTCTGCTCCTCACCACAAGCACTCGAACTCCTACAGGTGCCCAGCAACCTCCGTCTGGGCTTCGTCACTCGCATTTGACCTTTAACCTCTGACCTTAGTGATATCAGGACCGGTACTTAGGATCAGGATGCGTCTGTGCTGACATGAATGCATCATGTGAACACTGCACAGTAGCTGATTTGCTAATATAAACTCATTAATGCTTTTGTATATTTTTTGATTTATTTATAAAGATTTTAATCACATGTTCTCTAAATTAGTATTTTGAATAACTACTGTTTAGATTATAACTCTTTTAGATCAACTATGAGCAAACACTGTAACATACATTTCAATATCACAAACCAACCTCAAATGCTCAGCTCCATTTTGTAAATCCTAAATAATTGTCACAAATAGCTCTTCCTTTGAATTCTTTTTATAAATCTGAAATAAATCAATAAACACAACTGCCAAATGAGTCCTCCTCTCTTCACTCTTAGCACTCTTAGTTCTCATAACAATATGCCATGGAAATGCTATATTTATGATGGTTAATCCTCTGGGGACTAGAGATGGAAACCCCTGGAACTAATCTTGCAACCAGTAATCTCAATCTCACAGAGTGCATTTCACAAGCATGCAGGTTATACTTCATACAAAAATAAAAATAAATAAATAAAAAGAAAGAGAAAAATTAAGCATATTTTTTAGGACCATTTTTGATACACTGTCATTTTTTATTTGTTTTAATTGTTTTAAAAATATTTCTAACGTTTAGTTTTAAATTATTCTTATTGCAGTTCTTGATATTATTTTTATTTATTATTATTATATTAATATATAATGATATTTATTTTTGCAATGTTTTACTTTCACATACTATTATAGCATAATATACTGAATTAGGTTTTATTTATTATTAGGTTATATTTTTAATTTATTTATTTAAGTGTGTGTGTGTGTGTATATGTATACACTGTATATATATATATATATATATATATATATAAGTATATATATATACTTACAAGCGTTGCCAAATACCAAATATGGCCTTACAAAAAGGTTTCACTTTTTAAACATATATTTTCAGAATGGGTTAGGGTTAATACGTAAATAATTCAAATAAATTTTATTATTACTTGTTTTATATATATATATATAATTTTTATTTTGGTGTGAATCCCGAGAGTGATAAAATGGAATACTGAAATTATAGAGCATATGTTTTCCAGTCAGGGATTTGAGAAGCCCTTGCAGGCGTGGAAAGCGCAAATATTGATCATCAGGAGGATATAACGCACATCCGAGCGCCTCTCTGGGGGTTCAGACGGATGCTAGAGAGAGAGAGAGAGCGCGAGAGAGAGAGAGAGAGAGAGAGAGAGAGAGAGAGCGTCCGTCACGCCAGCTGCATCATCCGTGCGCTCCGTCTCCAGGCTCTCCTCTCCCCATCAAAACACTCCTCGCCACCGCGAAATCTTGTGTTTTCTCGTGGAAATGGCCGCGCAGCCCAGCGACACTCTGGCGACGCTCAAGACCGAGTCTGAGACGCTGAAGACGAAGCTGGAGGAGGAGAGAGCCAAACTGCACGATGTCGAGCGTAAGAACCGAGCGTCGTGTGTGTGTGTGTTTAATGAAGACATACTGTATGTCAGCAGTATAGCTGTCCTTATGAATCGGGATGTTTACAGTAAGTCTGATTGAAGAGGAAATCGGAATCATTAGCCGTTTAGATAAACTGAGCAGGTTTCAGGAAGACGATGATGATGGTGGTGATGATGATGATGGTGGTGATGATGATGATGATGATGGTGGTGGTGATGATGATGATGGTGGTGATGATGATGATGGTGATGATGGTGATGATAATAGTGATGGTAGTGATGGTAGTGATGATGGTGATGATGTTGATGGTGATGATGATGATGGTGATGATGGTGGTGATGATGATGATGATGATGATGGTGGTGGATGATAGTGGTGGTGGTGGTGATGATGATGGTGGTGATGATGATGATGATGGTGATGATGGTGATGATGATAGTGGTGGTGGTGGTGATGATGATGGTGGTGATGATGATGATGATAATGGTGGTGGTGGTGATGATGATGGTGGTGATGATGATGATGATTGTGATGATGATGATGGTGGTGGTGATGATGATGATGATGATGATGGTGGTGGTGATGATGATGGTGGTGGTGGTGATGATGATAGTGGTGGTGGTGGTGATGATGATGGTGGTGATGATGATGATGATGGTGATGATGATGATGGTGGTGGTGATGATGATGATGATGGTGATGATGATGGTGATGATGATGATGGTGATGATGGTGGTGGCATCACATTATGATATTCTGAGAAAGAGGGCAGTCATTTCTAAGAATCTGTGTTATTTTAGTATTTACAATAATGTTCCATTAGTTAATGCATTAACTAACATGAAAAAACAATGAGCAATACATTTATTACAGTATTTATTAATCTTTGTTAATGTTAGTTACTGAAAATACAGTCGTTCATTGTTAGTTCATGTTAATTCACAGTGCATTAAATAATTATAACAAGTACAACTTTTGATTTTAATAATGAATAAGTAAATGTTGAAATTAACATGAACTAAGATTAATAAATGCTGTAGAAGTATTGTTCATGGATGCATCAAATCTGACACAAAACAAAAGACACTTATGCAAAAATATTTATATTTAGCTTTTTTTTTTTTTTTTTTTTTTTTTTTACAATTTTAGTGTATCAAAATAACCTTTTTAACATTTCTGGTTCTAAGTTTGTAATCTAATATTTCTTTTTTATTTTATTTCAGCTATATTTCAATTTTTGTAACAACAATAACAACACTGCTAATAATTACTTCACAAGGAGAATATTCATTCTATTTTATAATATATATATTTTATATATATTAAATATATACAATATTTTATTATCTTGTTCATTTATTATTTATCTTTTTTTTTCTAATGGTTTGATAAGATGCAATGAACTGTGGGCAGGTTAATGAAAAATAAAAACAGGAAATAAACAAAATGGCATTAAAGTTGTGGCTTTTCCATCAGTACATCAAGTGGCGGAGAAGATTGAGGCTTTGGGTCAGTTTGTCATGAAGACCAGACGAGCTCTGAAAGGCCATGGAAATAAAGTCCTGTGTTTGGACTGGTGTAAAGACAAGAGGAGAATCGTCAGCTCATCTCAGGTCAGTCTATAAATCACATATCGATCCCTGTCATTTCCTTTCACAGTGACACAGTTTTGCAAATGATGCAAAAAAATGCAGTAATTGTATCAATAATTATTGAATTTTCTTCTGTATTTTAGGATGGAAAGGTGATTGTATGGGATGCGTTTACAACAAATAAGGTAAAATGAACCTGACACTTTAAAAAAGTGATATTTCTATGAGTTCAAAGACAATATAATATACTTTTTATTTTTTCCCCAAAGTTTACCTATAACATTAGTCACTAATTATGTTATATAATTATGTACAGTATGCTTTTGACTAATGTTGATGTAAAATGTAGCTTAATTTGTTATTTAACTTCAGTTTTTTAGTATAATTTAGATACTATTATAGATACTGTTACAGTTTACTAATGTTTTGAATTAATTAATATTTTTTCATTGTATTTTATTTTTAGAAATAAAGTTGTGTGTTTTTGTAATTTGTCTTAGTTTTTTTTTAAGTCTACATATTTTTATTCATTTTTATATAGTTTTAGTTATTTTAGTACATCAAGGTAAACTAAATGAAAATTAGAAATTTAGCTTTAGCTGAAATAAAATATGTTTATTTATTTATTTTTTGTCTCAGTTACCATTCATTTAATTTTTAAGTAACAGAATTTTAATTTTTATGGTTTTGTATTTTAGCTATAATAACGGCGCTTTTAATATATTTTAATATATTAAATGTCCTGACAGGAGCATGCAGTGACTATGCCCTGTACGTGGGTCATGGCCTGTGCTTACGCCCCCTCTGGATGTGCAGTGGCTTGTGGGTAAGTCTCTGGGCTCTCCGGCTTCTTTCTAAGGCCCCGTCCACACGGAGACGCGTTTAGCTGTATACGCATAAATTTTGTATCGTATAGGCGTTTCGTCCACACAGATCCACGTAACAGCAACAGAAACATGAACAAACACTGAACGATTGTCTTTTTATTAACTAACATTAACACAGATTAATACATGTATTGTTCCATGTTCGTTTGTATACCGCGCGCAAGGTTTATGCGCATAGTCCAAGTCTTCTTCTCCATTTTTAGTGCATCTCTGTGGCAGAATTACAGCACCACATGCTGGTCTGGCATGTATACTACATCGTTTTGTGTCGGTTTCGTGGTTTCGTGTGGACGCAGATATTTCTTTAGACGAGGGGAAAAAAAGAGATTGGATAGGGAAAGCTCTGGCTTCGTGTGGACGTAGCCTAAATCTTTCAATCTTTCTAAGCATTATATCACTCTCTTTGAGCAATAAACATCTGGCTTAACCAATTGCAAAAATCTGGGGCGGGACTTCAAGCTTTTCCAACCTGTGTAAAGGCTAGAAAGCTTTAGGAGTTTTTAGGAAACAATATTTTGTTTTGCAGTTCCATTTAGTGCCGCAGATGTCACACACGTTAAACTTTATTAATTGCTTGCTAACTTCATTTTTTGTTCGCTTGATTTATTTTATTAAAGGTGATGTATCTTAATTTTTTTGAATGCACTAAAGCATAAAATACCATAATATACATGCTAGAATCACATACTTGTTTCAGAGAAGAACAATGCTACAGCCGGTTATTCTAAATCAACTCATTAACTTGCAATGAACTACCTATGAACAACTGAACTAAGAACTAATGAACTAAGTATGAACTACTTGCAATCAACTATCCATTGTCAGTTGCGCTCGTTCCTGTTGCATGTCCTCAATCTGGCAACCCGCGTGAGCATCCCGTCCTTGGGAGGAGGGACAGGAGAATTTGGACTGCAGTACCCATTAGCTGTCAATATTACATACTGCACCTTTAACTGAAACATTGTTTTTTCACAGTGGGTTGGACAATAAGTGCTCTGTGTACCCTCTATCCCTGGACAAGAATGAAAACCTCGCCGCCAAGAAGAAATCAGTGGCCATGCACACCAACTACTTGTCTGCATGCTGCTTTACTAACTCAGATATGCAGGTATGCTTGAATACGTGGTGAAATAATGAGACGGTGTCTTGCATTTGACTGGATGTGGTGTGTTTTGTGTTTGCGGCAGATCCTGACGTCTAGCGGTGACGGCACGTGTGCTCTGTGGGATGTAGAGAGCGGTCAGATGCTGCAGAGCTTCCATGGACACGCGGCTGATGTGCTGTGTCTGGATCTGGCCCCCTCTGAGACCGGAAACACATTCGTGTCAGGGGTGGGAACTGAGCTGCTGATGCCAAACACAAACCCTCCCTTAACAAACCAATGTCACACATTACCTTACAGTCAACATGAGATCATAACTGACCCTATTTGCTTTCTTAAAGGGATAGTTCACACAAAAAATAAAAATTTGCTGTTAATTTACTCACCCTCAGGCCATGCAAGATGTAGGTGACTTTGTTACTCCAGTAGAAGAGTAAAGAAGATTTTTAGCTGAAACCGTGGTCCTTGGTGATTCATAAAGTGCAAGTCAGCGGCTGGCCGTTTTTGAGATTAAAAAAGCATATCAAGGAACATAAAATGAATGAGCACAATAGAGCTGTTAATATGCCTGTGCAGTGACCCGCATGTTCTTGCGTCTCTCAGGGCTGCGATAAGAAGTCTTGCGTTTGGGACATGCGCACGGGACAGTGCGTCCAGTCTTTTGAGACTCATGAGTCAGACATCAACAGTGTGCGGTAAGTGTCCTCAGGCCTCTTCTCCCTTCAGGTTTTGTCAAAGCCAAAAAAAAAAAAAAAACACAAAGCAGACCGAGTGACATTTAAGGCCTTTACAGCACTGGTCAATATTTAATAGTCTGTGTAAACACTCAGAATGTCACGAGAGAGCGTACAGGCCCGGAAGAGTGCTAATATGGTCATCGACTGATCTGACTTGTCTTAAAAGGGACTTTCAAGTAGTGTTTACTGAGTGAAGCAGTCACATGACTGCTCATGTTTTATTATCACTGCAGGTACTATCCCAGCGGAGATGCTTTCGCTTCAGGCTCAGATGACGCTACTGTGAGTCTTTTCCCTTCTCACATTTTTTTTCATATGATACCTGTCAAAAGTTTGGAAACATTATGATTTTCAAATGCTTTTAATGAAGTCTTATCTGCTGCATTTATTTGATCTAAACAATTTGAAAAAAGCCATTTTCTATTGTAATATATTTTAAAATGTCATTTATTCCAGCATCATTACTCCAGTCTTCAGTGTCACATGATCTATTATTATTATTCTAATGCTCAATTATTATTGGTGCTCGTTTATTAATAATGGTTCTTATTATTATCAAATAAATACGGTTAAAAACCGTTTTTGCTGCTTAATATTTTGTGGAAGCATTTTTTTTTTCAGGATTCTATGATGAATAGAAAGAACTGCATTTATTTGAAATATAATCTTTTGTGACATTATAAATGTTTGTCATTTTAGCAAATCAATTTAATGCATATTTGCTGAATAAAAGCATTCATTTCTATTAAAAAAACAATGGTAGTATATCATGGTTTCTGCATAAATATGAAGCAGCACAACTGTTTTCAACATTGATGGTAAGAAATGTTCTTCAGCATATTAGAATGATTTCTGAAGGATCATGTGACAGTGAAGACTGGAGCAATGATGCTGAAAATACAGCTTTGATCACAGAAATAAATTACTTAAAAATATATATTTACATAGAAAACAGCTGTTTTAAATTGAAAAAATATTTCACAGTATTACTGTTTTTACTGTATTTCTGAGCACATCAATGCAGCCTTGATGAGCAGAAGAGACTTCTGAAAACCTTATCTTAATCTTATCCTTTGCTGAATAAAAGCATTCATTTCTATTAAAAAAACAATGGTAGTATATCATGGTTTCTGCATAAATATGAAGCAGCACAACTGTTTTCAACATTGATGATAAGAAATGTTCTTCAGCATATTAGAATGATTTCTGAATGATCATGTGACAGTGAAGACTGGAGCAATGATGCTGAAAATACAGCTTTGATCACAGAAATAAATTACTTAAAAATATATATTTACATAGAAAACAGCTGTTTTAAATTGAAAAAATATTTCACAGTATTACTGTTTTTACTGTATTTCTGAGCACATCAATGCAGCCTTGATGAGCAGAAGAGACTTCTGAAAACCTTATCTTAATCTTATCCTAATCTTAAAAACATGTAAACAGGTACTGTAGTTAAATAGTCAAAAAATGTGTTTAATTTGATCTTTATTTTCTGTCTTTACAGTGTCGTCTCTATGACCTGAGGGCAGACAGAGAGGTGGCCATTTATTCTAAAGAGAGCATCATATTTGGAGCCTCTAGTGTGGATTTCTCCCTCAGCGGTAAGCACTGACACTGTTTGAAATATTAAGTAATATTTATTCATTCTGTATACTCACTTAACCTATTGCATTTGCAAAATGTGCAGTGTATAACCATGGCACGGACAGGGTGCCTTAGCAATCGCATAGAAATGCCATGGCAACCACTAAGAATACTGTACCTTAGCAACCACTCTGAACACCGTAGCAATGCCCTAGGAACAGAACCATATCCCATAATGCAATGAGCACAACCTTCAGTTTCCTTCAATAATTTAGTCTCTCACTGAATCTTTAGAAACTAGAATGAAATGAATGTATAATTTGATATATTTTAATTGTATTTTTGTTTTATATACAGTTGTGCTCAAAATTTTACATACAGTACACTTTGCAGTATCTGCAATATGTTAATTATTTTACCAAAATAAGAGGGATCATACAAAATACATGTTTTTTTATTTTATTTTGTACTGACCTGAATAAGATATTTCACATAAAAGACATTTACATATAGTGCACAAGAGAAAATAATAGTTGAATTTATAAAAATGTCCCCGTTCAGAAGTTTACATATGCTTGATTATTAACACTGTGTTGATACCTGGATGATCCACAGCGGGTTTGTTTTTGTTTTTTTGTTCATGAGTCCCCTGTTTGTCCTGAACAGTTAAACTGCCGCTGTTCTTCAGAAAAATCCTTCAGCTCCCGCAAATTCTTTGGTTTTTCAGCATCTTTTGCATATTTGAACCTTTTCCAGCAGTGACTGTATGATTTTGAGATCCATCTTTTCACACTGAGGACAACTGAGGGATTCATACACAGCTATTGCAGAAGGTTCAAACGCTCACTGATGCTCCAGAAGGAATCATGATGCATTAAGAGCCGGAAAACTTTTTGGAATCTGAAGATCAGGCGAAATTGAACTTATTTTGTCTTCTAGGAAACATGTAAGTATCTTTATTTAGGCAAAATGAGAAAAATGTACACATCTTCATACTGTTCAAAAGTTTTCACCCCCAGCTCTTAATGCATCATGATTCCTTCTGGAGCATCAGTGAGCGTTTGAACCTTCTGCAATAGCTGTGTATGAGTCCCTCAGTTGTCCTCAGTGTGAAAAGATGGATCTCAAAATCATACAGTCACTGCTGGAAAGCGTTCAAATACACTTTGTATGATCCCTCTTGTTTTGGTAAAATAATTAACATTTTGCAGATATTTCAAAATGTATGTAAAATTTTGACCACAACTATATACAGTATATATATATATAATTTTTTTTTCTTTACCAGAATCACCAAGATTGATTTTCTATTTGAAGGAGTTTGTTGTTTATGCTATGCTAATATCTTTCGGCAGGGAGGCTGCTGTTTGGTGGCTACAATGACTACACCATCAACGTGTGGGACGTTTTAAAGGGCACCCGCGTGTCCATCTTGTTTGGACATGAGAACAGAGTTAGCACGCTCCGCGTTTCTCCGGACGGAACAGCGTTCTGCTCGGGATCCTGGGATCACACATTACGGGTCAGTGGACAAAAAAGATAATAACACAATGCAAGTATATTAAGTGTTGTGATGAAAGCCTCACATTTGTTCTGTCTTTCTCCAGATCTGGGCCTGAATGCTGGCTGAACCTCAGACTGCTTGTGTTTGACATCCGGCTCGATCAGATTTCTCTCCGCAGCTGGATTCAAGGATAAACCGCAGACTGTAATGATACAGATGGACTGTAGTGCATCCAACTCTAATCAGCAAATGGTATGCTTGGTATTATGGGATGGACTTGGATGGTGTCGATGGCTTCTGTTTCTATGACAACGACTGCCCCTCTATTAAGGCATTCTAGTTTATGTGTATGAATGTGTTTGAGCTCATGATCCAAGAAATAATTTATCTGAAGCATTAATCTAAAAATATAAATGTATTCCATGTTGTTTAGGTCTGTGCATGAGGTTGAAGCACAGCAGAGACACTGATGTCTCGACTGACTGCTTGAGTTGTTGTGAATGAACGAAGGGAAAGATTGTTTAGCGGACTCTATTTCTGATATGCAAGCTAACAGATTTACTTATGCTCTCTTACTCGTTATGGTCTCATTCTCTTTCAATTACTACGCCACTATAGTTGTTCTTTCTTACTGTAGCAAAGTGTATATACCATGATATCATATAGGTTGTCATATCGACACAGATATCCCTACACCTAAACCAAATAAATGGATTTTAAACGCTGAAATTTATGTGGTGTCTCTTTATTTCATGTTTCATGACGTTGCTTTTGTTGTTATTAGATCAGTTTTATTTAAGCGATTAAATTCATTACTTATTATTTTATTAACATGGAATGGTAAAATAACTGTTCAGTAAAGCATAATAGTTAAAGTGAGCTTTGTAGAGTTATTAAATAGACAGTTCCTCCAAAAATGAAAAGTCCAAACCCTTCTGTTTTTGTTGGAACCAAAATCAGTTATTTCACTTATTCATTTTGAATTATTTAGCGTAAATAATTTATTTGGTACATTTACCAAATGTTATAAATGACTAATTAATTCTAAAAAACTGTATGTAGCTTTGTGAAAACAGCTTTAAAACTTAAAACACAAAAGTTGTTCTCAGATTTCTATTGTTTATAAAAACAATTATTTAATTTTGTTGTTTTTAAATAAAATAAATACATAAATTATTACACAAAACTATTAGATAGACATACATTTAGATAGATACTATCTATGTAATAATAAAACTATATTAATATTATAAAGACAACTAAACGTCTTTATAAAATTACGTTTTATTATTATTGTTATTGTTGATGTTGTTGTTTAGGTGAATAATTCCTGTAACTGTAAAACCGCTCGACTTTTATTATGAAAACAGCAGCGCACTTCCGGTAGGCGTCGAGAAAGGCTAGTCACGCTGGTTTGTGTTTTCATTCTGTGTGTTTTGACTGAAGTGTAGGTGTTGTGCAGGTATTTGTCCTGCTGTAGTGCACTCGTCTGTATGCAGGGTCTCGGCTGTGTCTCATAATCTGCTCGTCTGTGTTGTCGTGCTGAAATGAGTGATGTTGTGGAGAAAACTCTCACTGCTCTGCCGGGTTTATTTGATTCTCAAACTGGAGCTGCTAAAATCACCAACAGATTAAGACAACTCATCAAGAGCATCACAGAACTGACATCTAAACATGTAAGTTAATTATTCGTTTATTAATAAAATTACATCACACAGACAGAAGCATAAATATAGACATTGACAGGTAAAGCAGTGACAGTGGTTCCGCTTTCGGTGTGGAAATCAGTACTTTATTTAATCAGTTCTATATTTCGAAAATATATGTTTTTAAATTTCTAATTTCATGATTTCAGAATAATTGATTATACAGAATAGTTGTATTGTTTATTTTTTATTATTTTTTTATAAATAATAATAATGAAATAGTAAATGAATTATATAATAGTATTTATATATATATATATAACAAAAATATATTATTATGTATTATTTATATTATGCAAATTATAACAAAAATATAATAAAACATTGTATTTTATTAAAACTGTAACAAGTGAACAACAGCTAAAAGGACCATTTACAACATAAAAAAGAAGAAGAAAAAAAGAATTTAGTAAAATAAACCAATGTACACTATTAAGGTCCTAGAAACCACATATTAAATAAATAAAAATCTAATATTGAATAATAGTAAAGGTTATTTAATATTATTGTGTATAATTAACTTTTATATATAATTTACTTTCTATCATTTTGACAATTAAATATATATAGTAATAATATAATGGTAAATAATAATTATAAATATTAAATAATAAAAAATATTAATAATAATAATAATATAAAACATATAATATTTATAAAAAACTGTAAAGTGAACAGCAAAAAGGTGGCCACTTCCAACATCAAAATAATAATAATAATAATTTAGTACAATATACAAATGTACACTATCGAGGTGATAGCAACCACACATTAAAATGCAATGCAGTGCTCTTTATTTTAAAGCATGATCTCATTTGATGTGCATTTGCAGGAGGAGGAGATCCTCATCAAACAGGAGCTGTCTGCCATGAAAGAGCAGGCTTCATCTCCCAACACCACCATGGTGAGCGATACAGACGTTACCGTCATCACGGTCACTCAGAAGCTGGTTATTTGACCTCCGTGTGTGTATTACAGAAGCAGATGAGAGAGATCATGGTGCGAGCCATGTACTGTGAGATGCTGGGCTACGACGCCTCCTTCACCTACATTCACGCCATCAAACTGGCCCAGCAGGGCGGTGTACTGGAGAAGAGAGTGGGTATGTTACCGCATTTCCAGTCCTCACCATATAAGTTCAATAACAGATGCACAGTACACTTTACACAGGGTCCACAATTTGTCTCAGTGATAATTGTACAAATTATGAATAAAATGTATTTTTTAATATAACAATATTTTATGTATAATACATTATTACAGAAATATTTGTATAAATATATTTTTGTGTATATATATATATATATATATATATATGAAGAGTTCATTTGCCGATAAAAACCGATAAACGCCACTTTTAAAAAAAATGAGCTGATTGCCGTGCATTATTCTCCACATATAGCGCAATCTGAACCCTAAACATGTTTTTTCAAAAAAAAAAGGCTTTGTCCACTTTCAAGGCTTCGCGAGTTCACGTTTTACTGCAGAAACCGACAAGCGCCCTTGTTGTTTTTGAACAGAAGCCGATAAGTCCATTTTAGCGAATCAGCGTGCTGTATTCAGGTCAGGTGACAAGGCTACTTTCACTTTGAAAAGACGTGCTAGCTGAGAGGAGTTTCGTCAAAGCTGACTACAAGTGATCGAGGATGGATAATTTCGACGAACTTGATGAACCTGTGATATCTTCTTCAGGGCGTAAAGGAAAATAAAAGCTGAAACTTTTTCACGGAACCTTGCAAAAGCAGTGCTTTACAATGGTGAGGTATATATACTGTATATATAATTTTTTATATTTTATTATTAACTCTATGTGGAGATTCTTGTTAATTATGGACCCTGAATGTGTATGATTTTAGTCTTTATATCTCTTTTATCATCTAGGTTACCTTGCGGTGTCTCTTTTCCTTAATGAAGGCCATGAATTGTTGTTGTTGCTGGTAAACACAGTATTAAAAGTGAGCTTGGTTAGCTTATTACCTTTAATTGGACCTGTTACGTAAAATGTATGGCTGAACGTCTCATGCATGTGTGACAGGATCTTCAGAGCACTAACCTCATTGAAGCGTGCATGGCGTTGACTGTAGTAGCTCAGGTGTTTCCCAAAGACATGATACCTGCTGTCCTTCCTCTGGTGGAAGACAAGCTGTCGCATCCAAAGTAAGCCAGCGAGATTCACTCCTCCACAATACACACAAGTTATTTCTTATTTCAACACTTGAAGATATCTAAAAGCCATATAAATAAGGCTTTCAGATATGATATAAAATGGCTGATATGTGCTATTTTGTTATTATTTATATAATATTATAGTATTTAGTAATATTTTGAATTAGCTTTTATATTTTTAGCTTCCATTTAAATTTTAGTTTTAGTAATTTTGTTGTGTGCTTTTGTCATTTTTATCATTTTTCTCTATATTTCTAAATATCTTTATTTTGTTTTTATGTCAGTTTTAGTATTTTAATATGTAACGTTGCCGCCAAGGCACGTAATATTTATTTTTTATTTTATTCAAGCAATATTTCGGTTAACAAATCTTAAATCTTAAAAAAATCTTGAATCTTAAAAAATATGTAGTTTTAGTTAATAAATGTCTAATAAACACAATTTTTGTTTTATTTTTGCTTTGTTTAACAAGAATAACTAATCATCATTTACAAATTATTATTATTATTAATAATAATATTAATTACATTAACAAAACACTTTATATAAATATATTTAATATATATTGTTTTAATATTAATTTAAGAAATACTAATTGAATTTACCCATGAACACCACTGTTTCCTGTTGAATGCATATTCATGCATTGAACCAGATTTAACAGTAGTCGCAGTATTAATGAACTAATAACCAGTTTTCCAGTTAAGAAAAGTGTAAATATGGGTACAATTATTTGTATATTGGTCAATTTGATTCTCAGTCTAATAATAACTCATATGTGACCCTGGACCGCAAAACCATTCTGAAGTTGCTGGGGTATATTTGTAGCAATAGCCAAAAATACATTGTATGGGTCAAAATTATAGATTTTTCTTTTATGCCAAAAATCATTAGGATATTAAGTAAAGATCATGTTCCATGAATATATTTTGTAAATTTCCTACCGTAAATATATCAAAACTTAATTTATGATTAGTAATATGCATTGCTAAGAACTTCATTTGGACAACTTTAAAGGTGATTTTCTCAGTATTTCGATTTTTTTGCACCCTCAGATTCCAGATTTTCAAATAGTTGTATCTCGACCAAATATTGTCCTCTCCTAACAAACCATACATCAATGGAAAGCTTATTTATTCAGCTTTCAGATGATGTCTAAATCTCACATATTATTATCCAGGGTCACATATTATTGTCTTTCTTTCCTGTCTAAGGGAGATCATTCGGAGGAAAGCCGTCCTGGCGTTATATAAGTTTTATCTTATTGCTCCAAATCAAGTCCAGCACATTCATAGCAAGTTTCGAAAAGCTCTGTGTGACCAAGATCCGGGTGTCATGACATCATCCTTACATATTTACCTACAGCTGATCACGGTCAGTCTTCAACATACAGTATGGGCTTTGAATGTCAGTATTTATGATAGGTGGCTTTGTATTGTGAAACTGAGTTAAAGTGAATACCTTTATACCTTTTTTATTACATTATAAAATCTAATACAATCAAGTCTACGTTTTTGTGCTGACCTTACCATCTAAAACCAGCTGTATAAGTAAACATTAAACATGTTCTGATTGGCTGTGATTTTGTCCCATCATGCAGTAGGCAAGAAATGGCTAGTCGGTCACATCTGATGTCTTTCTCTTTATCAGGAGAGTCCAGACGGCTATAAGGACCTGACGGGTAGTTTCGTCACTATCCTGAAGCAGGTGCTGGGTGGGAAACTCCCGGTGGACTTTAACTACCGCAATGTTCCTGCGCCGTGGCTGCAGCTCCAGCTGCTCAGGATCCTCTCGCTGCTCGGGAGAGAGGACCAAAGGTACCGACGGGCCGCCATGCAAACACAAGCTG